GTGTTCCCTGACCTCGAAGCCCGTGCAACCTTTTCGAACTTTCTCTCCAGTACAGCCGAGCCTCTCGGGGAAAATCCCCTTGGGGAACCGTGAGACACCCATGAACCGCGGGTGCGCGCTCGCGCGCGGGGGGTCGGGACAGGACGCTTCCCGGCTCCTCTGTCCCTGGATAGAGAGAGAGAGAGAGAGAGAGAGAGGGGGGGGGAAACCTCTCTGCCCCTAGCCCTGCCGAAAGAAACAGAGAGAAGGAGGGCTAAAGGCGCACTGGAGCGCGGGCTGGGGGGCAACCCCTGGTCCATAGCCCTGGCGAAAGAAAGGAGGGCTTTATGGCTATATTGTTGACGAATGCAAGCGGCAACCGGTGTGCGTAGCGTTTGTGCTCAGAGGCTTTTCCGTGCCATCCAGAGTCGGGGGTTGTCGCGTCACAGTTCCCCCAAAGCTGACGCGCGGGCCAGGGCGCCTGCCCCAGCTTTAACCCTAGGCAAATCAAAGAGGGCTATTTTGAAGTTGGGCACATCGGAGTGACTTGATCTGTGTCCCTTATCGTACTGGGTACCCTTGTATCAGCCCCAGTGGTAATTCTTGCAGTGGCCCTCCATGTAAAGTAACCCCTTAGGGCAACCCTTCGCAAGCAGCCGCCGGACAGGTCTTATTGCAGGATACTGCAGCTTGGCTCAGGTCCCTACGGAGTTGAGGATTGAGGGACGCCCAGTATGGCTTGGCAAAGTAGACACCTTCCCAGGCTAAGCTGGATCCGGGTTAAGAGGGTTCTGTCCGGAAAGATCCCTGATTTGAGGGCTCCTTTGCCGTTGAAGCCATGCCAAGCCAAGCCTTACTCTGAAAGTACCCGTTTCTCACCGCAGCTGCAACAAGAAGAACCCTAGCTTGATCCGTAAACTCTACACCCTTAAGCTCACTGAGGCTACTGGAAGCGGCAGCGGGCCGCCAGACAGCGGCCCCTGATCCCGCCTAAGGCGGTTCCCCGGATGCACTCTTCCGGTTTATTTCAGTTTTTGGAGTTTAGGGTTCATTCACCATATAAGTCCTTTCGAAGGAGGATTTCCGGCTGACTTGGCAGCTTTCACTCACCTTGGCCTTCTAGGTATCGCCGGCCGCGAGCCCCCCAGCCGACACTGTCGGGGTGCCAGCCGTGACAACCAAGGTGACGGGGGGTTGCAGGGGTGCAGTTGGGAGCTGCACCGGTAAATTCTGAGCATCTGTTGTGAGGCCTTGACCAGGGCCAAGAGCATCGCTCTCTCTAATGAGGAGGGCCAGGCGATAGACTCCACCACCAAGGAGATGAACAGCGTGGCGACTCACTGTATCTTTGCAAGTCCTATGGAATCGTGCTTTGCAGAGGAGTCCCTGCCTAGATATTGGGGCCACTCGGCAGCAGTCATGCATGGCCCAAATGGCACATGGCATTGAGCCGCTTCCAAGGCCATGCTTCCGAGAATACTGACTTCAATGCCATGCTCTACAGCAACGATGACCAGGTGGATCATTTCACGGAGCTCCTGAATACCACCTACCTCGCGCGGTGCACACAAGACAGGCGCGTCAGTCGACACAGCCTTTGCTCCTTGTGTGAGAGAGCTGCGATGCAGAACTGGGCCCATTGTTAGAGGCCTTGCCCGAAAGCTGCCTGCCCCAAGACGCCGGGGGGCTGCCCTTGCGTCCAGCCTGACGGTGATCCAGGCTTGGTGGCTCGTTTTGAAGCTCCGCACACTTGTTGTAATCACAGGCCTGCCGGCAAGTTACGTGGTGCGGCGCGTCATCCGTGTGGAAGACTCAAGGTGCACCGGGGACACGATGTTGGGATGACTGCAGGGTTTCAGCGCATGCATACCTGGGACATTCTAGTAGCTCTATAGCACCTAGCCTAATCGCGCGCTGTGAGAGTCTCACGCGGACTGTTAGGCGATTCCATGAACCTGCCCGGAGCCTGCAAGCAGGATGTGGAAGCGCTTCATGAGGAAGCGGGACCAGATTCGGCGGAACAGATCCAGCTCCATTGAGCAAGTAGAGCCGCCGGTGTGTACGTCAGGACAGTGGGCTCACCGACCTCAGCACAACTCACCTTTAGCTGACGTGCAAGTGCCAAGTAAGCTGCAGCTCCCTGGGTCGCAGGATTGGTGAAGGATCAACCGGGAACCTTCAACCCCTTGGATGAGGGCCTGAACGAATTTTACTTGTGGCACGGCACTCACGTTCGGGCAGCCCTCTCCATTGCGCACGAAGACTTCCGGATCGATATGGCTGGCTCCAATGCGGGCACAATGTACGGAAGAGGCTGCTATTTGGCGGAAAACTGCACCGAAGCTGCAGGCAATCAAGTTGCGGCGCTTCCATTCATGGCATGGAGTCCCGAGGCACGAAAGCCGATGAGTATGCAAGGGACGAGCCTCACGGTGTGCACCTCAGCATGCGCCAGCCCTCGATGTCAATGCATCGTCGGCTTCGACTTTCTACTTGTAGCATTGTGGATAGCGGCGCCACTGGTGAGGCTACTACGAGGGCGTCTTTGCTCTTCTGCTCTGCCGTGTCTGCATGGGGAAGTTCCTCTACACAACGGATCGCTATGAAGCTGCAGGCAGCCGGGGCTTTGCAATGCATTGTCGGGTCGTCTCCGTCGTCAAGCATGAGTTTTGACAGATCCCTCTTAAGTAGATGGGCTTGTGCCGAACGAACGGTTGGAATGCACAGAGATCGCGAAAATACTTCTACTTCGTTACAAGGCGACAAGGTGAAGTCGGGCGAGTTTGACAGCACCGTTGGTGACAGGCGACCCGGGTGTGCTCTTTGGCGGGGTCTGCAGGGTTTGGGATCGGTATGCAAACATTCTCAAGTTCTGCAGGCAAGCCCTGGTAGTTGAATTTCCCACTCGTCGCGCCGTCAGATTCCAAACTTCCAAGCAGAATCCAGAGGACCAAGAAGGCCAACACTTTCCGGGAGTTCGTGGTCTACAATGCGGACCAGGCGGCTCGAGAGTGAAATCGCAATCGATGTTGCGACACCGTCGAGCAGCCCTGCTTCCCATGCCCATCTCACAGGTATACCCTGAGTACGTTGTCCTCTACTCGCGACGTCCGCGGGCGAGCCCGCCTTGCCTTAATGCAGCTTTCGTGGGAAGTGAGGGCCGGGACGGCCCCCGAAAGCAGGCCGTGGCCCTGGAGACCTTCAAGTTCGAGTTGGGGGGAGAACTGCATGCCGAGCTTCCGGTGTAGCTTGCATGCAAGCGAGGGGAACTGGTCCCCAGGTGTTAGAATCTTACACAAACTGCTTGACATGCTGCAGGGAAGCTGTGCCAGCCCGTGCCTCGTGAGAAAGCATCTGTCCGCTGGAGCATACAGCTGTTTTCAACTGTTCGGGAGACAGGTGGTAGCAACACTCTTCGCAACCGTTTTTCAGGGTGTGCTGAACAGTGCAGGGGCGTGTGCACCTGACATGTGCCAGAAGTCATGGCCAAAGTCTGCACACGGTGAGTTTATCACCACGTGGAGAGCAAGACTGCGGAGGCCTAGGAATGTGGGACGTGGGTGCGAACCTGTCGGGGCTTCGTGATACCCGCCGGGCCGGTCTTTGGGAGTGGTGGGAAGCATCACATCTCTCCATGCACAGCCGGCCAGAGCCTGTCTGTGATGTAATGGCAGGTAAAGTTGGCAGTGTTCCAACGAAATCAAGCCTTCGACGCGTTCTGCATGGGTCTCGTGCGAGTGACATCGAGAATTCATTGCAAGAGCGGAATGACGCGCCGAATGTCCTCGTTGCGCCGTGTGTACCTGGATGTTTCACGAAGACTTGGGGGTTGGCTCGGGACGGTTGTTCTGATGCGACAACGACAACTAGATGTAGAGCGAATTCGCACGTACCCTGACACTCTTGCGAAACAAAACACGTGGCCTTGACCGAGCTCTAATGTGTGCTTGCCGAGGTACTGGCAGCATTGTCACGTAAATCCCGGCGTCAACGCCTTCGAGGAGCTATGCTTACGAGCTGCAGTTCTGACCTTCGCTTCAAGACTTTCCTGTCAGGCACAGTATGCTGTTCGTGCGACCTCCCGCTCCTTATTGCAGCAGTTGGCGCAGGGCTGCTTCCCAGGCCACGGATGCCCGCGGCCCCCGAAGCCCACAATCGACATGTCCGCCACCTCTGCCTCACGAAGCCATCGTTCTGGAGCATTGGGGATCACAGCACTGCGGCCGTGATCATTGGCTTTGGGTTCTGGTTGTGCTTGGCACTTGCTGCAGGTGGTGCGGGTGGTGACGCCTTCATCAAGGCATGCATGGGTGGTGCTTTACACATGAAGGAAGAAGGAAGCAGGTAAATAGTGTCCAAGACACTAGGTCACTAGGACTCTTCAGGCCCTGGCCTTTAAGACTTTAAGTGCCTGGCTCTTGATTGGTAGAGCTGGCAGGTCATCTCTGCTCGACGCATCGAGATGTCCAGCATGTGGAACCGCTACGTGCAGTTCAAGCGCAGGACAAGGGGCCGGGGCACAAATCTGCACAAGACCTCCCGGCCATCTTGAAGCCAACTTGTGCACGGACTCGAAGGGCGTGTCTGCACCCAGTGGCATGCCGCTAAACTCCGAAGAGCTGCTATAAACTTTCGGGAAGCTGAGTTCAGAGGGACGCGACGGCAGGATCCGTCCCAAGCCCCAGCGTTCGAATCGTGCACATGCCGGCTCATCGCAATTCCTCGGTTGGACCTTACTCGCAGGCTTCGCCAGGAGCTGGAAGCGTCTGGGCTTGCTTCTTTCGCTTCTGCACAGCTCCTGGAGGGCAAGGCCGCGGGCGAGTTCATGTTCGGGTTCCGGAGCGCAGACCTGCACAGATCCCACATGCTCACCAGCCGCACATGCATCATGCATCATTCGTGCGGATGTGTCGCCAGGCCTCGCGTGGTGTGTCCTGGCACGCAGAACGATTCCACAAGTTTCATAATTCGCACGAGATTCGCAGTGTGGCTGATTTGACACTTGTGTGTGTGTGTGCGTGCGTGCACGCGCTCTTTCCGGGGTTTAAGACAGGTAGTAGCTAGGAATTCTGGGAGTGCGGAACCGGCGATTGCAGCAACAGTCGTCAACAGCTCAGCCTGAGGAGATACTGACTTACTCTTACCTGAAGAACTTGACGGGCAAAGGAGTGCAAAGCTCGCCGTCAGTTTCGGCCGTTGACACTGCGACATCGTGGATGCCCTGGCTCCATTGCAGGAGTTCAAGCTACCGGTACGATCTCCATCGACACTTTGGACGACAGCATCCAGGCCTGAGCCGCTATGTATGCACGCTCGGTAGCTGGACCAATCCCGCATTCTCGTGATTCGCAAAAAAGCGATGCATCCTCCACAGGAGCACCTGCTTTGGCATGGAACGTCCAGGGCTTCAGCGGAAGCAATCGTCACTGCCGACTTTCGCATTCCCAAGGAACAGGGGTTTGGCATGTTTTCTGGCTCAGGTTCTCTTTTTCTCATAGTGGTCCTTTGCCCTCTGCAGGATTTTCAGAAGTTTTGCAAATCTATTCAGTGCATGTGCATATTGCTCTTGAGAGCTGCCCGTGCTGAGCAGGATGCCAAGCATGGCTTTCGTTTCGGAAGTGGCTTGTACTTTGCAGAAGACATCGGGAAAAGCCTGAGCTATGCTACTTGTCTGCATTGCTGCTTGACGCATTTGCTGCTCGCGTGGATGCTGCCCTGGATTGCATCCTCATGCCTTGCAAATCTTGCAAGCTGGTGCCGGGCAGCAGTCGTCGCAGTTGCAGCAGGTGTGTTCTGCATCAGTTTCCGTGCAGCTCGCCCAGGCTCCCTTGGAGAAGGGGTCAGACGGTGGAAGCAAGTCGCAGTTTGTGCCCCCTGTTGGCAGCAGCTTTTTCACATGCCACTTCATGGTACGTGAGCAGCAGCGCGAGCGTTTGCCGGTCTCCCTGAGGCTCCTGTGCCGTGTACTCTGCGGGCAGATGCACTACACGGAGGGACAGGTTGATGGCAGCGCGTCGGCGAACGCCAAGCAGGTGGGGCAAGCCGAATGCAGACCATGCCCAAATGTAGATAGGACTCAGCTAAGGCATGACGCGAAACCAAACCTCGGCAAAAGTCATGATCTCATGCAGATGAATGCAGTAGGCCGCAAGATGTTGACCAGTCAGGTGGGAAAGCACGCGGTGCTGGCCAATCCGCTAGCCGAGGGTCCCAGGGAGTTCATCGTCCTGACGGAGATGCAGGCAGAGTGCTTTCCCCCCAGCCATAGAGCAAAAATCCCTGTGGCGGCGAGGTCTACCCCGAGTACCTGGTGGAGGTGTCTGTGTCCAAGGCGGAGGGCCCTTGAGGTCTCGGAGGCCACGTGGCAGCAACATAGCGGTCTTTGATCTGTTTGAGGTACCAGGCACCTTTAAAGGTGCCGAATCCCTCGATGTGCTCCCTCGCATGTGTGTGTGGCGTCGTCCATCCAGACAACATCCGTTGCTCAATGCCTGCTACAATCTGGCATTGTGTCTTTGCAGAAGCACATGCTAGTCGCCACCTTGTCCAACAGTACAGCACATTGCGACTTTCTGTCACTTTCAATGAGTCTGACGCGTGGAATGCACGACACCTTCACCTCGTGAACTGCTCCCATGTGTGGCACAAACCAATGAAGACCACATGACCGCCATTGACGGCACGAGTGAAGCGGAAGTGTTCTGCGGCCAACATGAGCTGCGTCTGCTTCTACAGTCGTCATCATCTTGAGTGGTAGTCCTCCTCCTCCTCCTCCTCCTCCTCCCTCCTCTTCCTCCTTGTCCTGGGTGTCAACCCGGTGGTCTCAAACAATACCCGTGGAAAGAAGAGAGGGCAGCAGTAAGAACCAGGATCGAGGTTCTCCATCCCATTTGCTTGATCCCCGCTTTCAGGCAGTCAAGTTAGACCGCATTGCTGAACCGCCCATCTAGCGCGGCATGAAGCCTGGAGGAAGCCGAGACGAAAGCTTTGAACTCCCAGTTTACCCCATGCCCCAGACCCTATGAGTTTGCGCTTGAAGCCCCCGACGCTCATCTGCGGGCTCCCTCACTTGCGGATGTTCCGGCTCCGAAGGAGCACAGACTGCGTAGTCAGGGACGTAGCAGGTGGACACAACGACCAACGCGGTCGGATGCGTGGAGATGTGCAGACATGTGCAGGCTGTACAGGCGATGTCTCACTAGTTCACATCCACGCCGTGTAGCAGGCGCTCTTCGCCCCGGCACAACTTTGATCTACCGTCTTGGGGATGGGGCTTCGTGAAATCAAGCCATCAACGAGATGGTGGATGCACGATCTTATCTTCTCCCAGGATCTTGAGCTCTGAGAAATGTCCTCCGTGCACGTCAGTCGGGACGATTCGGGCTTAGAATCGGGTCTTGGGGGAACATTATCATTCAAGTAGAATTACAACCATGAGCCGGTTCAAGGGCTCAGGGAGCTGCCGGCACTGCCACCAGCCGCCCCAAGGTGCTAGGCTGGTGGTAGGGCCTCCAAATTCGATGCAAGACTCTGCAGCCACCCGCTCGAGGAGAACGGCAAGTGCTTCGCCCGCTTCAAAGTTTGGACGAAGCTGTGCTGTGTTAGGCTGTGTTGCGCTGTGTCGCTGCATGCAGAGCAGATCAGAGTCAGGTGCAGGGCCATCTGCCAGTCATCACCTCTGGGCCCCGCATTCTTGCTGCACTGCGGCTCACAGCCTTCATTCGAGCTATCCCAAGCCAAGCCGCCGCAAGACTGCCAGGGACTTGGACCATTGCATGCATGCATGGCTTGGGAGCAGACACGCCGCAGTACGTAGGCACGGAGTGAGCAAAGCAGAGGTGGCCGACATGAGCGCAACGCAGAAATCCGATGCCTCTTGGCGGCAGGCAGTGTCCGGGGATGCTCCAGAATCTGCAGCTGCTTCTTTCCTGCCAGGCTGACGCCAAGGCTATGGCCACACCCGCAGACTCGAAGCAGGAAGTCAAGCCGGTGAAGGCGCGCCGGCATGCCTCAAGAGAGACGCATGTGTACACCCTTCTGCCTCGTCAGATCAGATCGAGCGTTGCCATGCGCTGTCTTGATTGGAGGTCTCGAAGCCTCGGATCGACTGCATTGACGGCTGCCGCTTCGCGCTGGTCTTCCCCATCGTGATTGCGCACTTTGCGAGGTTAGCAAGGGTGTGTGGTACTGGCACAGATAGACTTGCACAGATCGCTTCTTCATTTTTGAACCGTCC